AACCTCTGCTGGAGGCTGCCTATTTCTGATTAACTTTTGCTGTGGCGCCTCTCTTCTGCTGGGGCACCCCTCTTCTGCTTGCGGCGCCCGTCTCCTACTGGAGACCCCTCTCTTCTGCTGGGGCGCCCCTCTTCTGCCAGTGGCACCCATTTTCTTATTATGGGGCTCCTTTTTTGCTGGGGCGCCCAGCTGCTGTCAGGGCGCCCCTCTTCTCGGAATGGGGGCGCTTCTCTCCTTTTGCTGGGGCGTCGCTCCTCTTCAGGGGGACACGTCTCCTGCTAAGGGTGCCCTTCCGCGGCCAGGGGCGCCCCTCTTGAACAGAAGGTATTTTACATTCTTGTAACGAGACGCCCTCTTCTGCTGGGGGCGCCCATCTGCTGCTGGGGCGACTCTCATCTGCTGGGAATAGGCAATTGGGCGTCACTCTCCTGCTTGGTGAGCCCAACTTCTGCTGGAGGCGCCCTATTTCTGCTGAACCTTTGCTTTGTCGCCGCTCTTCTGCTCGGGGCGCCCTCTCTGCCGCGGGATATGGGCGCCTTTTTCGGATGGCGGGGGGGGGGGGGCGGCCGCCCCCGTCGCCCCCCTGGATCGGCACCTCAGGCTGAGGTGCCCCTGACAGGCCCGTGGTGCCCTTGCTAGGCCTGTGGTGCCCCTGGACCCTGGCAGGCCTGTGGTGCCTCTGGCGGGCCTAGGGTGCCCCTGCTAGGCTGCTGATGCCCCTGGGACCTGACAGGACTGTGGTGCCCCTGACAAGCCTAAAGTGCCCCCAACAGGCCCGTGATGCCCCCGACAGGCCCAAGGTGCCCCTACGTGATGCCGTGATGCCTGCGAGGCCGGTGGTGCCCCTGCGAGGCTGGTGGGGCCCCTGACAGGCCCATGGTGCCCCTGCTAGACCGGTGGTGCCCCTGGCAGGCCTGTGGTGCCCCTGCTAGGCCGCTGGTGCCCCTGCTAGGCCGCTGGTGCCCCTGGGCCCTGACAGGACTGTGGTGCCCCTGACAGGCCCAAGGTGCCCCTGCAAGGCCGGTGGTACCCCTGTAAGGCCTGTGGTACCCCTGCTAGGCCTCTGGTGCCCCTGACTGGTCCATAGTGCCCCTGCGAGGCCGGCGGCGCCCCTGGCAGGTCTCTGGTGTCTCTGACAGACCTGGGGTACCCCTGACAAGCCTGTGGGGCCCCTCACAGGCCCGTGGTGCCCTTGCTAGGCCTGTGTTGCCCCTGGCGGGCTGGTGGTGTCCCTCTGCTGGGGGTTCCTGCAATAACTTTTGACTCAAGAGAGTCTCGACATTACGTTTGCCAGCATTGCGTTTCTGTCGTCGAGACACGTCGAACAAACTAAAGGTTGACCTTATGATGGGTAATTTTGAGAATTTGACCTCAGGTCAAGGTCATGACCTGACCGGGAAAGGTCATGCTGCATAGCAGTCGATGCGTATCGTCGAGCTGAATACAGCTGAGGTGTTTTTATCGCTCTAGCTTGAATCTATCAAAAGTTATTTAAAAAAAACTGCTGCGGACCTTTCATGACATGGGATGACCTCTGGGAGATAATGAGTGGTCACACTAGGTGCAATGTTCGTATTCAGTGTGTTAATTTTATATGTATCCCAATGCTTGATATTGTCTAGAATGGCGCTCGTCCAAAAGAGATGCCTTTCAGTTTTCTCCCAAAGACTTAATTATACCTACCTACCTAATGGAGACGTCGCACAACTGACCTGACCTTAGGTCACAGATATCGAAATTCCGAGATATACATTTCATGAATAGGGGAAGTTGGGGCAATGCCGGAGTTGGGGCAAAGCCGAAATTCGAGATATTTCTAAAACCGTACGACATGGATGCCACGTCTCAGTGATGCTCTGAAGCTTAAGTGACTACAATTATCGCATGTTTGTAACGAGTTGTCATTTGCAATACTTCGGCTGTGAGGGCGCCAAAAGCGTTTTCAAGGTACGTTTCCCTTGTACTACATGCGCCTTTGAAGCTGCATTTCTTACTCATTATGCTACCGTTTGTCTGGCCAATTCGGTCAAGTACTCTTCAGCATGTCTTTGCATAAGTGTGCTGCCTATTTGAAATTTATACAGCACGTTTAAAAGTTATGGGCCTGCAAATGAAAGTATGGCTGGCTGGGGTAATGCCGAAAACGTGCAATTACGCACGTTAAAGCACGCTACGTGGACTTTACTGCTGTAGAATAGCAACGCGTATTTTTAGTCAAACAAATTACACTTTCAGCCGGCACAACGGCCTGTTACCTATAAGGAATGATTTACCTAGCATTTTTTTTTATTATTATATCACACAATTATAACTTCCAGTGTGCACCGCGTCCTCAAGCTCTTAAAACGCGTGTCAGCTTTGATGAATTTTGGATAAAGTTTGAGATAAATTGGCAAAACATCAATGTCTGCATTCCTCGTAGATCATTTATCCCATTTTCGGCTTTCCCCGCAGTCCGGGGCAACGCCGAAAAAGTCAGTTCTTTGATATTTTTAGTTTTTGCGCTTAACGGTATGCGAATTCATCAAATGCGTCTGGTATGTTTGAAAGACAAAAGACTGGCCTCTCGAATGACGCCAACAAGAATAGCTTATGTTGTCTACCTTGCGTGTGACGGGCGTCAGAAAAAAAGTATTCGGCGTTCCCCCAACTTCCCCTAGTGTTGCTTTCATCAATCGCTGAAAGGTTCAAAGCAATCGTTCAGTCGGTATAGCAATGGTAAGCATTTGAACTTTTTCTTAGGCTAGGTCACTTGGCATAACCTGGTGACCTGACCTTCCATCACCCGCGTCAGACATTTTTACAACATATGCAAAAAAAGATGCATGATAAGGTATGCTGAAAATGGCGGCGCTGCGCGCAGCCGTTTTTCAGATATTTGCGAAAAACCCGAGGGGGAGCGCGATAATTCCCCCTAGCACGGCGCGGGCTTTTAGCTCCCGATTTTGACGGTTTGGCGCCCCCTTTGTATGGAGCGCCCCCGGATTGCCAGGTCGCCCCTATTTCGACTTGCCGCCCCCCCCCTCCCGAAAATTCCTGGATCCGCCCCTGACCTCAGGCTCCCGTGCCCCCTCCCCCCCCCCGGATCCGCCAGTGATGCCACACCACGCGAAACACCGCCAACTACCAGCTGCCGCGCCATAAACACGTGCCAACAACAGTCTATCCCCGCGTTCGATGTCTCTCGGACGGCGAAGATTCTACGCCGTCCGGCCAATCACGTTCCATAACCGCAGCCGAGCCCCCGCTGACCTTGGACGCGATTGGCCGGACGACGTAGAATCTTCGTCGTCCGGGAGACATCGAACGCGGGGTATTTTTGAAGGTCGACTCCGCTCGCGCAACTTTTGACTGACCCTCACTGCTACCATATTGCTTCCATATTATGCTGTGGAAAGGTTTACTTCACCAAGTGGCTAAAAACCTCTATCAAGGTATATTTTCTTAGCAATTTTTCTGACGTTTTGGGGGGGCCAAACAGGCCACTTTAGGCCTTTGGGCCATGGCCCCCGTGCCCCCCCCCCTGGATCCGCCAGTGTCTCAGCGATACGTTATCAAATTTCGAAAATATTATACGTAACTCAGTTTTGAACCATGCCCAGTCTGCCTACAAATTTTCAGAAAAATCGAAGGGTATGACGGATTTCGGTGTTTGATTTGACGTGGAATGCCCCGGCTGGAAGGTGATGTGGGCCGCCTGTGACGTTAGCGTAGCGGTGAGGGCCGAGCCCGGAGGCATGGCTCGGGTCGGCGTGTCGCGGCGGCTAGCGAGGGCTGGGGAGTGAGGCGGGGTGGAAGCATGGACCATCACGCGGCTGGGCGAGCGTAGCGTATATAGGCGAGCGTACAATATGACTCGAGCGCAATCGGCCCAGCCATTCTCGAGATCTGGAAGCGCCCCCTGCACGTGCATACGTGCAGTAAGTAGCACCCTAACCTTAACACATGGGAATGCATTGCCTGGTGGGTGCCTACTAGTGATGTCATTTTCCAAAAAATGTCTGACCGATACCGACCGAAACCAAAATTTGGGAAAAATTTCCGACCGAATACCGACCGATAACATCCCAAGCCAAAATTTGACCGAAATTTGACCGAACTTCTATTTGCTATTACTCTACCCCAAAATTTAAATATTTGGTAAATTCTGATGGAAAATAATGGGAAATGGCATTTCAGTCCAAGTTCAGTCAATTCTTAGCCACTGCAAAATACATATTGTGGTAGAAGTTACATTGCTGAGGGTAGCAACACATGGACCTCAGCATTTCACAGATTTAGTTGATTAGAATTGTCAAGAATCTACTGTGGTCTATGTAAGGAAGAATGCTCATTCATGTTGCAAAAGCACGATCAATTAGTATAGTCAAATGGTTGGTAATAGGTATGTTCATGACAACATTCCCTAGGAGAAAAGGCGGAATCAAAACACCACAAAACACATCAAAACTGCTTGGAAACTTGCCTTGAGTCTTGAGATGTGGTCTGAGATACTCTACAAATAATTTGACACTGAAAATCCAGCTGAAAAGGCAGGTATTAGGTAGCTCTGAGCTTGAATTTTGTCCCAAAAATGAAAATTCATTACACAGGCACTTTGTCTTATCTCTTGTTTGTCTTATCTTTACAAGAAAACAAAATATGCAGACAAAATTGATACCTACAAAGTGGCGCCAAAGTGGCGCAAAAAGTAATAGAAGAACCAAGGATTGGCTTTTAAGATCCTCTCTTCCGTAACGAAAGGATGTATGTTGATGACGTAATATTTATTTATATGCCCTTTTGGTCGAATTATTGAAGGGAAATTAATTTTCTTGTAGTGAATTACACTCACAATGTTGATTTCATTAGAATTCAATATCGTGTTGGATCATTTACATCAATAAAATAATTCACGAGGCAGCATGTAACAATCCAAAACTTTTTTTGCAGCAACTTTATCAGCTGGTTTAAAGTCTCTGTTATGGCGCATTTGTTTCGAAATCCTTCCTTGTGTTTGGAATGTGGAAGATTCCAGAAATCGGACATGGCCGATGTAGTTTTTGTCAAGATTCCTATGTTTTTTTTTTATGTTGTGGTCATCTAGATTTCAAACATTTGGTTGGTACCTGCAATATTTAAGGAGAATGTGGGATAGTAGAACACCTGTGAAATGTAAATGTGATCACTGCTAAGTGCTAAGTGCTAACTGTCCAGTCTTCAGAAACACATTTCAGTAATTCAAGTTATTTTTGTCCTTGCATTTTTGATTACTGTATAATGATTTTTGTAGGCAATACTTCTTTGATTACAGGTGAAATTTTAACAGTTAGACCAGGGGCGTCGACACCGGTCCGACTTTTCCGACTAGTCGGACCACTTTTTCGACTAGGCGGTGCCCTGCTGTGGCTCGCGGGGGCCCCTGCTGCAGACCGCGGGGGCCCTACTGCGGCTCGGGGGGCCCTGCTAGAGCCCGCGGGGCCCTGCTGCGCCTCTGGGGCCCTGCTAGACACCGCGGGGCCCTGCTGCGGCCCGCGGGGTCCCCTTCTGCGGCCGCGGGGGCCCCTGTTGGGGCTCTCGGGGGGGCCTGCTGCGGCCACGGGGGCCCCTGGGGGCCCCCACCGGTGGGGGCCCCCCGAGAAAAAGTCGGACCAGTTTTCCTTACGCGTCGACGCCCCTGAGTTAGACTGGAATAGAGTTTCAAAATTGTGTGTACTTGTGGGGCCAACTGAGTCAATATCAGCCTGCTTGTAGTTGTGGTTGGACAATGGGTGGCTGCTGCCTGCTTGGTGGGTTGGCTAATGAAGTTGCCAAAATGTGGCATTTGGCATTTGGGGGAAATTTTGCAACTCTATCATTAATATCCCAATAAATTTCATTTTAACCCTCGCCCATGTAGGGGGGGGTTGGTGCAACCCCCCCTGAGGTTTTTCGGAAATAGTGCAAAAACGGCGGCGCGCAGCGCCGCCAAATTTTAGGTACCTTATGGGGCAAACCTTGCGCATCTTTTGATAAAAAAAATTTGACCGGGTCATGTCAGGTCACGGAGTTATGACGTCACAAAGGGAACAGCCTCCGGCCGGATTTTCACAAACTGAGTGCCAACGCCCGAGGTTTCCTGCCGGTGGTACGGACATCGGTTGATGGATCGTGATGAAACTTCCCATGCATGTTGGGGCAAGTATTGGCTATCATATGGTATAAGAAACTTGACCGGGTCAGGTCAGGTCACGGAGCTATGACGTCACAAGAGGAACAGCGTCCGGTACTATTTTTGAAAAGCGCCCGAACCACTATTTTGCTAATTCTTGTCACCTCAATGGGAATATGCAGCAATATTAGCTTCTATAGGGAGCAAATGGACATCCCAAATCCAAAAATACAATCAGATTTCAAAAATTTAAATTTTGATTTTTCGAATTTCTGCCGCCGACTGTGACCTTGCCGACTTCCGGCGCTCCCAACGCGCCATTTTTAGAGCTAGGGAAACGAAATACATACCAAACGATAGAGAATTGATCAAGGAACACGATAGTGAAGGTTTCAAGTCGATATCTCCCACCGTTTTGCCGCAATCGCCGCGGAAAATTTGAAAAAGTCTATTTTTCTGAAAATTTGACCTTTGACCGGTCAAAAGTAGGTCAAATGTTGACCTAGGACCAAAAAATATACCACCAATCGCGAGATCTCGGCGAGAGCAATCCGTTGGTCTTTTCCGCTAAGCTCTACGACGCTCCGTTTTCAAACGCCAAGGGGGGGGGTCGCACCAACCCCCCCCCCCTGCATGGGCGAAGGTGGCAGATCGCCGTTTACGGGCGAGGGTTAACTAGGCAAAAATGGAATACTTTCTCTTTTTGAAAATGGTTTCACTGGCAGGGTGACCGAAAGTGTCCGATTTTGGGGGGGCCTGACCGACCGATTACCAAATCGGTCAGCATATCTTTTCGGTAACCGAAATTTTCGGTAACCGATTGACACCACTAGACTGCCTACCCGTATGCCAAGTTTCAGTGAAATCGCCCCAGTAATTACCGAGTTATTGAAATGGGAGCAAACTTGGCACCTCTTCTTTTTGCATTTTGCACGTGCAGTGGGGGTCACTCACATAGATCAAGAGTATCTGACCTTTGGTAGAAGGGATGCAGCCACCCTACATAAATTACCGCAAGACAATCGCCCAAGCGGCTGCTGAGATATGAGCCTCTCAAAATCACAATTTTGCAAAACAGCTTGAACACCCTTGACTTTTCACGTGGCACGTGCCACGGCGGTCACTGAGATGTTTCAAAAGTAGTCAATTACGGGGTAGAAGGGATGGGGCTACCCAGCAAAAAAGACCGCAGGCCAATCGGTCTAGCGGTTGCTGAGATATAAGCCTTTCAAAAGCGTTACAGGCCGGGCCGGGCCGCTCATACTGAGATTTTTCCGTTAGATATTGAAAAGACTTCGCTTCGCTCGCTGCGCTGTAATGTCATGGCTCTTTTGAGTCAAAAGTTATCGCCGAAAAACCGATTTCCGTAAAAAATGGCTATTTTTGGAGTTTTTGCCCTCTGGAGGCTAAACCGTTGACCTGAGGTCAAATCTGAGAACATTACTCAGAAAGGTCTGTAAAAGGGCTATCGAATGCGCTTTTCTGCGGCCCTGTAGCTCTATCGGTTCCCGAGATAGCCGTTGGCAGTTTACAAAATGTTGAAATAGTCAACATTTTACCTTTGATGACCTCTGGTGACCTGACCTTTGACCTGACCCAAAAAATGACCGAAGTGTTTTCGTCCTTATTTTGGACGTTCTTTCGATTACCGCTTACCGCGTGTCGCTACGTGGCCCAGGAGCCGAGTTAGTGGGTGGGGGGGGGGGGGGGTTGAAACACCCCACACCAGGGGCCGTATTCACGTCGATCATTTTCGTAAGAATTTTCTTAAGTTTGACCTACTTCTTCAGTAATTTTTTTTATTCACGTGAACTCCGTCGATAAAAACTCAAGAAGTGTTGACGTGAATACCAGATCATACTTACGAAAGAAAATCGACTTACGAAGTGACGTGAGTACGAAGTCGACGAAGTCGGCCCCAGGTCGTGGAAAATCCAGACTGACACTGGGGCGCGGGTTAAAGTAAAAAAATTAACAATTTTAAATTCTCAAATAAATTTGCAGTACGAATTTAACATCGTACGCCAATATAAGATTAATGGAAAGGACTACGGAAATATATTTAAAAAAAAAACCTTACCTATGCTTGAAAATATCTACATCAGACTTTCACATTCTAATTTATTATCTTTCACCACCTTACGGACAAATTATTCAGAGACATCTGCCATTCGAGTCATCCTTAATCACTTTATTTCGGTCATCCAGCAGCTATTTTTCGTCATGGGGAAACCAAGCAAGTTTATTTGAAGGATACAATTGCTCTTACAAAGTTCATATTATTCTCTTCTGAACACTTTGGCAGCATTCAGAAACACTGAAGGTGACCTTTCGGGTTTGCAATTCGCTTATTGAATCGACGACATTACACTTAGAAACGTTTGCTTAATTCGCGTCTATAAGATATAAAATGGCTGATATAAAATGGCTGATTAACTGAAATTTATCCTTACTTTTTGACAAAAGGTGGGTCCGTTTTTAGAGCATGCGAGTGCCTGTGGGGTTCAGTGTGCCTGACCGAGTGAAATCTACAAATAATGAGGAACGAACAAAGCTTTTATGTATATCACTAGAACCGGCATAGTCTGTGAAACTGGCTATTATAGCGAAAACAAGCAGATCCGTCTCATTTTTTTCAAGCTCTGATGATCTCTTTAACTTCAAGTTAGAGATATTTAAATGCTTCATGTCGCAGAGAGCTCACCTTTGCTGATCAAGAGAAACACATTAGTTGTGTTTACATAGGGTTCCCTTAATCTTCCCCTATTTCTCCCCTATTTTCAGATCGAATTTAGGGGAAGATTAAGGGAACCCTATGTAAACACGGTTAATGGCACCTTCTTTGAAACTCTATCTTCAAGGTGTGCCAAGCTAAATAAGGTTGTTTGAACACATTTGATCTCAGTTGGCCCGGCCTTTCACTTTGCGTTCTTGCACCAAAGAAGCACAAATTTTGTCGCGCATTGGTATAAACTGAGATATTATAGCACAAAACGATGAAATACATCGGACATCCCAAATATTCTCACAACTGGAGGTAGCTGAAATATACATGTTCTTTATTTTCACCGTTACATCATTATCACTTAACCCTCGCCCGTAAACGGCGATCTGCCACCTTCGCCCATGCAGGGGGGGGGGGGTTGGTGCGACCCCCCCCTTGGCGTTTGAAAACGGAGCGTCGTAGAGCTTAGCGGAAAAGACCAACGGATTGCTCTCGCCGAGATCTCGCGATTGGTGGTATATTTTTTTGGTCCTAGGTCAACATTTGACCTACTTTTGACCGGTCAAAGGTCAAATTTTCGGAAAAATAGACTTTTTTCAACTTTTCGCGGCGATTGCGGCAAAACGGTGGGAGATATCGACTTGAAACCTTCACTATCGTGTTCCTTGATCAATTCTCTATCGTTTGGTATGTATTTCGTTTCCCTAGCTCTAAAAATGGCGCGTTGGGAGCGCCGGAAGTCGGCAAGGTCACTGTCGGCGGCAGAAATTCGAAAAATCAAAATTTAAATTTTTGAAATCTGATTGTATTTTTGGATTTGGAAGGTCCATTTGCTCCCTATAGAAGCTAATATTGCTGCATATTCCCATTGAGGTGACAAGAATTAGCAAAATAGTGGTTCGGGCGCTTTTCAAAAATAGTACCGGACGCTGTTCCTCTTGTGACGTCATAGCTCCGTGACCTGACCTGATCCGGTCAAGTTTCTTATACCATATGATAGCCAATACTTGCCCCAACATGCATGGGAAGTTTCATCACGATCCATCAACCGATGTCCGTACCACCGGCAGGAAACCTCGGGCGTTGGCACTCAGTTTGTGAAAATCCGGCCGGAGGCTGTTCCCTTTGTGATGTCATAACTCCGTGACCTGACATGACCCGGTCAAATTTTTTTTATCAAAAGATGCGCAAGGTTTGCCCCATAAGGTACCCAAAATTTGGCGGCGCTGCGCGCCGCCGTTTTTGCACTATTTCCGAAAAACCTCAGGGGGGGGTTGCACCAACCCCCCCTATATGGGCGAGGGTTAATGACCATGAACCATAGCACACCATGCAAGTTTGATTAAATCGATGCAAAGCTCTGGAATGAGGAATTCATAGCAATGCAAATGTAATTTCAGTGTTATTTTGCTAATATACCTATCGGTCTTCGTTATATGACATAACCTAATAAACCGGAGACTTTAAATTTTCAACACAAGTTTAATTTTTTAATGTCCCATCAAGTACCTAAATGTGGTGGTGCTATGTGCCACCGTTTTTACGTAATTCGGGAAGACTTACGTTACCTCTCATTTGCACCCTAGGTAGCATTTGCACCCTATATATTAGGGTGCAAATGCTACCTAGGTATTCATTTAGGTATTCATTCATTATATATACATTTAGGTATTCATTTGCACCCTATATATTTAGGTAGGTACTGGTTTTTGCGATCTGGTCACCTGTGTTTATATGCCTGCTGGCATATAATGGAGGCATATATCCTGTTAATTTCAAACCCCATTGGGTTTGAAATTAACAGGATATGTGCCAAAATTGTTCAAATTAACAGGATATGTGCCAAAATTGTTCAAAATGGTATGCCAGAGTTAGCGATGCTACTCGTGTCTCGTGTCGCCGATCTTGCGCTATCTGCGAAAAACTTAGCTTTTTTACTCTTTTTCAATAATCCTAAGGTCGCTGTTTTGTGGTAGGTAATTATTTGCAAGTACCTATATTATCTATGACCCAAAGTTGGCTTCCTTTTTGGTTCACGCTTTGATCACGTGAACTACACCTTGGCTCTCATTAAGATATTTTATCGTGTAATAAAAATGTACCAATAAATAAGGCAAATGATTATCGGTTCTGAGCTGTTGTCCTGCCACCCAGCGCTGTCAGTACGGCTGTCGTCTCGCTGTCGGGGCCGACCGTGCCGCCTGTCTCTGCCGCCGGTGCCGGTCCCCCGCGGGCGCGTCCCCCACTATTGATCGCCGGCGCCGCCATATTGGAAGTCCTCGGCGTGTCTCGACCAATCAGCGGCCGCCGACTCCGGCCAGCGCCGGCCGACGGTGACCCCACCGAGGAACGCTAATCTGATTGGTTCGCATTGCAACACTTGGGCGCCAGATTTGCGGCAATCGTCTCTGAGCGCAGGCTGCGCGCCGGACGGCGGCGGCGTGCCGACCGCGCCGCTAGCGCCGATCTATAAAACTCTATCTCTCATTCTAACATCATTAGTCACCATTGGTCGCCTCATCATATGTCGCGCGACGCTGAGCGAAGCCGACCGCAGCATTAATGCCACAAACGTGATTTGCGCGCCGGGTCGGCTGGTTGGGCGCCGTCGCGGCCGCCATGGACGGCTACCAGGTCCGGCCGCCGGGCCTGGACGACGATCGAGACAAGCGAAAGGTGGAGGACTTCACGGGCCTGTACGGCCTGGACAGCGCACTGCGGCCGCACCCGGACCATGCAGGTGAGCGAGTGTCGCGACCGCCGCCGCCGCACGCCGCCACCCACCAGCCGCATTGCAATTTCACTCGCTCGCAGGACAAGGTAACTCGATTCATTATTCTTGTTACCGAGTTAGTTTACTGAAACAATACCGTGTGAGGTAGGCCGGTCGGGTGGCACGCAGGTAATTCCATTGACAGTGTTGGGTTACCGACTAACGATATTCAATTATGAACTGGAAGATTTGATCTGAAGCAAAGGCAAACTTGATTACTCTATCAGAAATGATGGCAACGAAGTTACACTAATGAATGAAATATTGAACTCATCGAATTGAACACAAAGCAGGGACTTTCAGAGACGTAACTTTGGAATAAAGTTAGTTTAACTCAATGTGCTTAGATGTTTCTCAGGCATCCTATAATACTATCTTTCAGGGTCAACGGCTAGCGCAGGCATACAAACAGCAGTGCATTAATAAATTGTACTGAAAACGATTGTGAACATAATAAAATTGAGCGAGTGCGGATTTTGATTGCCAACAAAATTGATTAAACTGGAAGGTGCGCTCAGAAGCTATAGATTGGGTGTCATTTTAGATAGTTCTGCCTTCGCTACTTACATAAATTTATTTGTGATTACAAATGATTACAATGATAAGTATTTGTATCGTGAACGTTACCGCTGCCACATCATGCAATGCACCTGGTTATTGTTGAATTTAGAACAATTATTAGATAGTTTTCCTTTTCTAAATTTATTTTTAAACCTGCTTGTTTATATAGTTGAATAGCGTATTTCACTCATCATGAGAAAGCACATTTATTGCAAGAGAAAGTGTGTAATTTGTTGCATCATTTCCGCATCACAAACACATATTAAAATGACAAAATCACAACGCAATGTTTGAAATAAAAATACAAGAATTTAGAACCTGACATTACCACACAGGCAATTATGATGTAGGGCAGACCCGGCTGGATGCAGAGCCTATTAAGGTCGCACGTCGCACGTTGACAAAAAACTTGCAGATCAAATAAATGCACACCATTCTTTTAATTTTTAACTGTTCAGTGATGTAGCCCAAACATGTAGCGCCGCTTTAGTTAGTCATACAATTATTTAGTTTACGGCCCAGTTAGATCCGTTCCGCACAAGTGTGGCTATTCCAGAGTCAGGCTCAATATATCAAAGTAGAAACAGCTCAGTTGGTCATTTATGCTTCAGCATAGGCACACGTGTCGAACACCTGTGTGGAACGTATCTATAATTGGGACGTGAACTAAATAACTTTGCGACTAAATTTGAAGCGGCGGTACATGTTTGGGCTACATCACTGAACTGTTTAAAATTAAAAGAATGGTGTGCATTTGATCTGCAAGTTTTTGTCAGCGTGCGACGGCTAAATAGGCTCTGCATCCAGCCGCCTCTGTTTTAACATCACGGACGGCACGTATGCCACCCACATGCTACACCATTTGTCCCAACTCCCAATCTCTTTGGAATTTCCTAAACTCCCTGACCCGTCATTGATTTTGCGGACTCACTAGGGAGTTTGTGAACTCACGGATTTCTCAAACTCCCTGAAACATACTCGTATTAACCGTTTTTACGACGGCTATCTTGTACATATTTGGTGCACATTTGGTGCTGATTTCGTGTAGATTTGGTCAAATTAGACTCCTTTTAGCCGTTTTCAAGGCGAGCTATTTGGCGAATGCATCAAACTTGACCAAATTTGCACCAACTTTCTTTTACAACATATATCTTCAGAGCATGAATTTATTTATCACAGTGCTCGAAAATAATGTCTGGTAATTTGAAAAATCAGTATTTTAGCAACTGTGCAACCCAAACTGACTATGAAAAAAAAAGAAACGCAATGAATCTAATTTGACCAAATTTTCACCAACTTTGCACCTTATGTACACCAAATGTGTAGGTACCTGTCGTAAAACCGGCGTGTGTTTCTTAGTAATTAGGTATCAGATAGGGTTTCACTAGTTACTTGCGTAAATGATTTTCACATTACTTATCAGACATCATTTTCGATTAAAACACAAATTTCTGATATGGAGATATCTGTTGTAAAAGATATTTGGTGAAAATTTGGTCAAATTTGGTGCGTTTGCCAGATAACCTGTCGTGAAAACGGCTAATAGCATCAAAACCGCTACTAGAAAGATAAAAATGACTAACAAAATACCACCGCACGATGGGACCGCGGCCGGAATTAGCGCGACATTGGTGGATTTGCCGACCTTTCCCAAATTTATTTAAACTGTGTCAAATACAGGGATGTTCACGAAAAACTGACACATTTTATTTCCGAATTACGAGAAAACACTTGCCCTCAGAACGGTGATCATGCTATGGGCAAAAAGAGTGGACTTCTAAGTTTGTATTGACATATTTTGGGATCATGTCATTTTCGTTTCTAAGAAGTTACAGCGTATTTTGCAGATGACGAGTTTTTGGAGCAGTGCACGACTCAGCCCGAAACAGGAAATTATTCCCCGTTTTTGGGCACGTGCCTGGAGAATTGCAACACCTCTCACTGCACTCGTCGGGAGGTTTGATGTCCTTTGGGCCGCTGCTACAGATCATGTCACTCACGTGACCCCACAGGAATAGTCCACGGAGTTGAGGTAGAGCGAAATGGCCGGCTATGGGTGAGAGGTGATGCGCGAGACAAGTGCCCCCTCCCCCCTGTTCTCGTGTGAGACCCCAACGCGTGCTACCAAACATTTTAGTAAAACATTTAAAATAGTTAGATCTGCGCTGACGTCACACATTCAGAGGGGGCATTCTAATGCATTAGCCCCTCTGAATCCAAGTGCTGCAACTTTGAAATTAGATATTTTGTATTTGAGGCATTTCTCATCTTGTGAGTGCTCAAACCGGTAAGTGCAAGCCAGGGACCCCATTTTGGCTATCTCAACTCAAAACTAATGTTAACCCTCGCATGTGTGCGGCGTTTGCCAGCTTCTAATGTGTAGGGGGGGGGGGGGGTCGGTTGGACCCCCCCCTTGCCGTTTGGCCCCTGATCGAGCTAGAGCTTCGCGGAAAAAACGAGCGTGTTGCCCGTGACGAGAGGAAGCCGATGATACCCAATTTTAAGGTCCTAGGTCATTGGTTGACCTTCCAGGTCAGGTCAATGACCCAAAGTCGGGAAAATCGGGACCTGTTAGAAAGTCGTAAAGTGTGGCTGCTAAGGGGTTTTTCGGGGTGCTGATCACGAATATCGTGTTAGTTTTGATCACAGATGATGTAGTGAAGCATTTAGACCAGGTCGGGTCAGGTCAGGTCAGGTCAACCAGTAGGCGTCGTGACGGGTATTCGTAGTACGTGTCAACCGCCTCTGACAGCTTCGTAACATGTTACGAAGTCACCAAAACTACTTCGTAAATGTTCAAATGGTTGCTAAATTCGAATTCAGCTCCAAAAACTAGCCTAGAAACATGTAAAACTCGAAAAAGTGACCCGAGGTCACCCGAGGTCACCAAAGGTCAATGACCTGACCTGACCTTCAGGTGACCTTGACACACACGGGAGTAACATCAAATCACATGTTTGAACGTTTGAAACCACGAAAAGCTTGCAAACACGCGGCTAGTGCGAGCCGACATACGCGAAATCGCGATTCCGGCCAAACATGGTCTCGGAAAAGAGGTCACAGGTCAAAGGTCATTTGGGTCAGGGTCATGAAATTTTCAGGGTAGGTGTCAAATTGATCAATGCGAGGGTACTGAAAGTTTCGTCGCGATCGGCCGCTTTTTACGCGAGTTATTCGCGAAAAACCATGGGGGGGGGGTCCATCCGACCCCCCCCTACACATGCGAGGGTTAAGGTGGGATGGTCACTTTAAACTTATATGTTCAGTTTCAGGTGCTGACGGCGCGTTTAAGAAATTGAAGACGGAGGTCGGCGCGGGCGGCGTGGCTGCCGGTCACAGCCCGACTACTTCGGCCTGTCCGACACCGGCGCGCCGCCGGCACCGCACCACCTTCTCACAGGTGAGATACAGTGAGCAGACCGCACCACCTTCTCACAGGTGAGATACAGTGGGCAGACCGTACCACCTTCTCACAGATGAGATAGTTACGGCACCGCACGACCTCCTCACAGGTGAGATACGGCACCGCACCACCTTCTCACAGCTCAGACACAGTGAGCAGACCGCACCACCTTCTCACAGGTGAGATACGGCACCGCACGACCTTCTCATAGGTGAGATACGGCACCGCACGACCTTCTCACAGGTGAGATACAACACCGCACGACCTTCTCACAGGTGAGATACAGTGAGCAGACCGCACGACCTTCTCACAGGTGAGATACGGCACCGCACGACCTCCTCACAGGTGAGATAGAGTGAGAAAACCGCGCGACCTTCTCACCTTCAATTCTCACCACCACCGAACCTCTCAGCTCAGTCACAGTGCCAAAACCACATCACCACCGTCTTCCATGCTGACCAGAAACGTATGCAAATCACCATGCTTTCTTACAGGTGAAAAACGGCAGCTGACCACGCTCTCACAAGCAAAAGACGTGATCGAACCCAACACTTACGCTTCATACATCAGTCTGGTAACAGGCAATATCCTATACCTACATACGAATGCATTTAAGTCATGATGATTCTGAAAGAAACCAGGATAATGAAAGTGTTTTCTAGTTGATCCTTTTTGGGGGAGGGCAGTTAATTGGAGCATCTGTTCTTCCCATCTGAAAATGACGAAATTTTATCATTTTCTTTCTAATTAAGAAGCTTACTGTTAACACTTGCAGTGGAAGGGTTCCGAGAACTACACCCGGTGGAAAAGGGGAGGGGGGAGGTTGAGGGAGAGAATGTCTCGCCCACTAAGATCTCATCTCAACTCCCATTAAAGCCAGAAAGACCAAATTTGGAGTGTTAGTGGGGGCGGTAGAAAACTCTATCGTATGTTAATTTCATGACATTACTTCCAGGTCAAATGAGGTCAAACGGGGTCAAATTCGCCAGATGATGGTTTAACTTTGTTTACACGCTTGCGTGACTCCAAAAGTTACTGGCCAATATTTTTTTTCGCTATACGACAGTACATGCATCATGAGTATAAAATGAGAATTTCCAGATAATCCAATCATAATGATGGCAATTAGAACATTGCTATGTTAGAGTAAGATGTCTTCCGGTTGAGGCGGGGAACAGGCGGCGCGGGAAGCGTTTCGGTCACAATTTTGTGTTTGCACACTCGTAACTCAAAAGGTTATCGGCTGATTTTCGCATTTCTTTCACCACCATCAGATTGTATGTACATTCTAAAGTCTTCACATAGGTTTTGACGCGAATCGACTATTAGTAGCGGTGAGCAACACACGAAACCGTCCGGCGCCGCGGGCAGCGAGAATCGGCCTACGCCGGTCGCCGCGCCACCGCTTCGTCGGGATTTTTGACTTCACACCCCTGTACCAGAATAGCTGTAGTCCATTTTACTTATTGCTCTCACGGCAAGATGCGCAATTCGATTCTAGGCAGGTATTTAAAATTTGACACTAATGGAATGATTACGGCGTAGCGTACCTACCTAAGATACCTGTTTGCGAAAAACAGGAGGGGGGGCGAACTTCACCCCCTCCCGCCTCCACTGCGTGTGTCAATACCAAAAACTACATCACAATGCATTCCAAAGCAAAATTCTATTACTCTTGGGAATTTCGGCAAATTCGTGCATGACGTGTGTTAGTGTCGACATTTGGTTTGGGCTACACATTGATGCCGCCCATAACATTGCATTGAGGTGCATCTTATATGCTGAAAGACGCTATTTATAGATAGGTTGCAAGTGTTTTACATTAGCTGTTACATGTAAGTGACAGGTACAGTACAATGTACAATGGTACATTAGATGTTAAAGTCTACATTTAGACTGAAAAACCCCGGATAATTGTTTCCGGTCGGAACTTCCGAAATACAAGCATTGTTTAACACTCCCACAGCTACAGGGAGGCCGGATAGACAGACACCTTCGTTTTTTCCCGAATAATTCGCGTTAAAAGCGGCAGATCACAACGAAAGTTACATTACCCTCCATTTGATCAAGTGTACACCTGTCACTTTCCCTCGAGATTAACCCGCGCCCTGCTGGGGGGGGGGTGTTTGAACACCCCCCCTTGTGGTTTTTCGCGAATATCTCAAAAACGGCGGCGCGGAGCGCCGCCGTTTTTGGTACACCTTATCATACATCAATTCTACACATGTTGTGAAAATTTCAGACCAAGGTCATTCAAGGTCAGGTCACCAGGTCACTTGAAGTGACCTCACCTCATAAAAACTTTCAATGTCTGTCATAGCTACACCGAGTAACCGATCGCTTTGAAACTTTCAGCGATTGCTAAGAGCAATAGCATGTACAAAATGTATATCTCAGAATTTTGATATCGATGACCTAAGGTCAGGTCAATTTTGCGACCTCCCCATTATAAGTCAATGGGAGAAAATTGAAATGCGCCTCTTTTGGATGAAAGACATTATACACACTCCCAAACACCGAATTACAAGTGGTTTAGACACACTGAACTTGAAAATGGTGTCCGTGACCCTTGTTTATGCCCTGAGGTCATCTTAGGTCACGAATGGTATCTAACAGTTTTTCGCAAATAACTTTTGATAGAGGCATGCTAGAGCGATGAAAACGCCTTAGATGTGTTCAGCTCGACGATACGGATCGACTGATATGCAACATGACCCTTTCCGGTCAGGTCATGACCTTGACCTGAGGTCAAATTTTCAAGTTGACCTTTCAAGGTCAAGTTATAGTTCATTCGATGCGTCTTGACGAGAGGAACACGATGCCGGTAAAAGTAAGCTCGTACAAGGCTTGGGTCAAAAGTTATTGCAGAAAAACTGTTTTCGAAAATATCGGCTATTTTTGCAGTTTTTGCCCCCTGCAGGCAAAACCGTTGACGTTAGGTCAAATCTGAGGGAATTACTCAGAAAGGGCGTTAATAGGGCTATCGAATGCGCTTTTCCGCGGCGCTGTAGCTCTATTGGTTCCCGAGTTATGCGTTGGCTTCTTGGAAACTTTCGACATTCGACCTGGAAATCGGCGAAATTTTGCCTTCAATGACCTCTGGTGACCTGACCTTTGACCTGACCAAAAAATTGACCGAAGTGATTTCGTCATTATTTTTTACGCTCTTTCGAACGCCGCCTTCCGCGTATCGCTACGTGGCCCAGGAGCCGAGTTACAAGGGGGGGTGTTCAAACACCCCCCCCCCCAGCAGGGCGTGGAAATCCAGGACCCCCAGCAGGGCGCGGGTTAATCTTGACCCTGACTTTAACTACCTTTGACCCGTGACCTGTCTCCGAGACCATTTTAGGCCAGTGTACCTATTCGGCGTCTGTCAGCGCACCTTGGCCGTGCGTTTTTTCAGGAAATATGTCAAGAAAATGGCCTAAAAGCCAGCCAACTTTCTCTAGTCAAATTTTTGCCTTGCAAACGGTTGATGGATACGTACTTTCAGCAGCGTCTTGCCATGACCTTAGAGTTATCCGGAGCGGTGACTGATTTGGAACAATGAGGAATGAGCAGAAGTAGCAGTGAGCTGGTGTTTAATGAGCTCACGTTTTGTGACGTCTCTTCCACATGTGTAGTTATGTAGGAACTATATGTACAGAAGACGAAGGACCAGGGGTGCTGATTTCCTGTGACCGAAGCTGCTTGATAAATGTCTTGTTCGAGAAAAGGGAAAAGTATAGCACTGCAAGAACGGTACATGTAGAATTCGTAAGGGTTTCATTCAACAGGGTTCCATGCGACTCCCGCAGTAAATTTTTGTGCCCGAGTAGTAACAGGTAGGCGTCGATTTGACCATATATCGGATGCGATAAAGCAGCATGGCTAGCTGACTGCACAATAGCTGATTGCTCTCCACACTGCCTGCGCCGTTGGTAAGATTGTGGCATGCGGCTTACATGAAAGCATTGCCCGAACGGTCGGCCCGCCTGCCAATCAAGTGCACGTGCACTGCACGCGACTCGCCGACCAGCGAAACTTACCCCGCATTCGCACTGAGGCGGGACGTCGTCGTCTATTTTACTGAGGCGTGTAGCTCCTGAACGCCATTGGCATTGAACCTTCGGCTGCTGGTTTTAAGTGTATTTAGGGCCTTGGTTTTAAGGCCGATGTGAAGGCCTACTAGCTCTTGGAAAATGACGACACGTGATCTTACTTCTTTTACTTGATGTGTGATTTAATGTTTGTGTGATTTCCCTTACCTTTTTCTAATAGTTGACAAATCGCAGTGAAAAGCCCGCACCAGATCGAGGACTGTGTTGAGTAAAAGCTGGATCTAAAAAAAAGGAACACAGGCAGCATGACTTCTCAGTAGGTGACATTTTAACTGTTTGATGTCTTCCAGTTCTAGTCATTTTCCAAAAGCCACTCAATCACCGTCTAAACAGGCAACTAAATCAGAAAGAGCATCAGTCAAGCCTTTGAATCGAGACTACGTGCTAGATTTTAAGTAGAGATGGTATGTTTGGGACATTTTTTCAGCATCAATCATTGAAATCACTGAATGATAGGTCGCCGCCGAAAAATACACTTACCTGCAAAATAAAAACTTGTCTGGTTAAATTCAATGATAGCATATTTCCTCGGTAGGATACCGTAGTAAGAAAAAAAACAGCATTACCAAATATCTCAAGGAATTATGGCTCAGTTTGTAGTAGTTATCGATATCGCCAATGGACATAAAAACGGACACACTCTGTTTTGCGTTCGATTAATTTGCTCATTGGCTTCTGGCATTGTGGCGGTACTCTCATCATTATATTTTTCTTTTCCAGGAGCAACTGCAGCAGTTGGAGGCAGCGTTCGCCAAGTCCCACTACCCGGACATCTACTGCCGGGAGGAGCTCGCCAGGACGACCAAACTGAACGAGGCACGCATCCAGGTGAGGCCATGACGGTGGTTTGCGGTGGGTGGATTTAAGTGCCTATTTCGTTACGTTTGTGTCATTTTATGTCCTTTATAACCAATTTTTACCCACGTGCTTGGCTTATTGCTTCACATACCTTGAACTTTTTGCTATTTTCCGTGAAGAGGTCATTTTGTAAAGCTGTATAAGCAAGAAAAACAAAACAAATAAGGCACAGGAGAACGGCATAAACATTAACAAGCCAATCCACCAGCGTGCACATTGCAAAAAGCCTTAGCCCATAGTGGTTGATGTTTTCTTCAGAATGACAGAGACGCTGGAGTGTTGAATTGATGAAGGCAGCCGTCTCCCTGGCGGGGCGGCAAAGTCGGCGGCAGGCGGCGTCTTTCGTCTCCGGGCGGCCGGGCAGGGCGGCTTTCCTCCCCGAGCGGCCTGGCCGACCTCTCCTCCAATCAGCGCGTATTGATCGGCCAGAAAGGCGGCTGACGTCAGCAGCGCGCCGTCTCGTGGCCCGCTCCAAATTCACTTAGCGTGGACACCGGCAGACGTAATTGGCTCGCGTCGGCTCGTTACCGACTGTGGCGTCCAGTGGCGGCGGCGCCCCGCAAAACAGAAATACACGTCCGACAGGCACCCGCCGACACACGGAGAGCAAAAACGTGGAGCATGTGTGCAGACATTTGCTTCATTTGCTGCTGAGAACTACATGAAGTCAGTGATAAAGGGGTGTACGAAAACGCATCTCGGGCGAATATTATACCATGAAACATTACTCATACTCATTACAATTTGCGATATTTACATTTAAAACATTTAAGAAATGTTCCATCATTCCAAGAAGAAAAAGAAAACGAGACATCTACACGTCGCATGAGTTGCTGAGGTCCAAAAATAATCCCTTACTTATATCGGTACCTAGCCTTACTATTTTGTAATTGAAAATGAAAAAAGTGCAGCTAGAAAGTTGCACTGATTCGCACCTAAGTGTATCTTTTGAAGGAGTTATGCCGATACACATATAATCACAGGTTAGAGTGGAAGCGGGCAGGCAGACAAACCCGTTTTCGCACACTGGTTTTACTTCAGAACAATTCATATGACACCAATACAATAATGGGGGATACCGGTTCAGGTCCCAAATGAACAATTTTAGGTTTTTGGCACCGTGCTGTCCTCTTCTAATCGTTTTAATCGTTCACTCGTTCTCTTTTCGTTCTAGCCGTTCTCCAACCTTTTTAACTTCATGTAATAAAACTCTCATTATCGCGTCCTCAGGTGTGGTTCCAGAATCGTCGTGCCAAGTACCGAAAACAGGAGAAGCAGCTGCACAAGGCGCTGGCGCCTACCGCGCTCGGACCTTGCAACACCGCACTGATGCGGAACATCTACCCGCCGTCCAGCCGCGGCTACCAGCACTACCCCACAGCCCACCAGGGCTTCAACACGATGAACCGTTACCCGCAGATGGGCGCCGCCTCCTACCCGGCCATGGCGCAGCCGTTCGCAATGGGACACGCCTCGCACAACATGGCCGCCGTGCGCAACGATATGGGTGAGAGATGGTGGGTGCCCCCGGCGAGCGGCGCCCGATCCGCACACGCGAACGGTACGCGATCAGAAGTCAGGAACTGCTAATTAGCCAACTCACGAGCTCCGATTATCGTCTGTAATAAGGAGTTTGCATAATCATCCATGCATTGACTCATCTGTAATGAAGTCCGATAGTGCACACGCCAGGTGGCATACATGGCATACGATCAGTGACCTTTTTGATGAGAATGAGAGGTGATCTGAGGTGACCTGTACGGTGTGGACTTCCCTGTTGACTGTTTGCACATTATTTACTCAATGAGCATCCATCTGGCGCTTGCCATTCCGTTACCACCCTCCTCGTGTGTCCTAAGTTAAGTCAATTCGTCCGCTGACCGTCCGTCGTCTCTCCCTTCGCTCCCTGACTGCTCTCCCTCTATCCCTTCGTCCGCTGATTGCTTCTCCCTCCATCCCCTCCCTCTCGCCCCCTCTCTCTTTCTCCCTCCCTATTCCTTCGTCCTCTGACCATCCTCGTCTACCCCCCGCCCGCTGACCGCCCTCCGTCTGTCCCCCCGCCATCTGACCGCCCTCCGTCTGTCCGTCCGTTCGCAGGTATGCCGATGGAGGACGAGTGGTACAACAAATCGCTCTCCGCGCTTCGGATGAACTCCAGCCATCACCCAAACTTGTCTGCTCCTATGCTCCAGTACCAAACGTAAATGACGGCAGCGAACTGGGCTTCTGGTCCTGGGGCGTGCCGACACCGGGCTCTGCGCCGCCGCTGGCGCCGCCTGGCGGGGAGCTGCCCTATGCGACCGGAGCGCCACCTATCTCAGAACAGCCGCCGGCCGGCACGCCCTCTAGCGACGAGGTGTGACCCACCGAGCCGCATCTACTGGAGCATGGGAGTAAAACTAAATCAAAACGGGCTACGTGCGCCGCAGCACGTCTCAAGTATAAATAGCGGGGACGATGGACTGAATACAGACCCCAGTGAGGCTGCAAGGACAGACAGTGTGTAAATGAACCGAGCGAAACGCAGCAAGAGTCGTAGCATGCTGAACCAGGGGTTACACAGTCTGAACGGATGGACGGCTTTGGAAGCTGAGTGTGAATGATTCCGTTCATATGACTTGTGTGACAGCCTCATCTGTACATACGCTATTCTTAAATTGTTTTGTGGTAGATCACCTTCTTCTGAGTCGAATCAGGTGTTGATGCCAATGATACCGATTCCCTTAAAATGATCTCAGATAGTATTTGTTCGAATATGTATTTCGAGTACCGATTCTTGTTAATAGGTTATTTGTACTGAATGTCCGGCAGAGTGTAGTTATACTTAGATTTGCACATTGCCGATGGAAACGCGTCATCCTGAGTACGTGCTACCTTCCTTGATTGTGCCAACGTTCCGTAAGTGTGTAGAATAGCGAATTTATGTTTAATGCTTAGAATTGTCGTACCACCGTTTGTGCAATAACTTCATGGAGCTGCTTCAACTTTAACCCTCGCACGACCAGGCCATTTCTCATAACACGAACGACCAGGGGGGGGGTTGTTACGACCCCCCCCCCCCTGGCGTTTCGAAACGGAAGGTCGTAGAGCTTAGCGGAAAAAACCAACGGATTGCTCTCAACGAGATCTCGCGATTGGTGGTATATTTTTTGGTCCTAGGTCAACATTTGACCTACTTTTGACCGGTCAAAGGTCAAATTTTCGGAAAAATAGACTTTTTTCAACTTTCCGCGGCGATTGCGGCAAAACGGTGGGAGATATCGACTTGAAACCTTCACTATCGTGTTCCTTGATCAATTCTCTATCGTTTGGTATGTATTTCGTTTCCCTAGCTCTAAAAATGGCGCGTTGGGAGCGCCGGAAGTCGGCAAGGTCACAGTCGGCGGCAGAAATTTGAAAAATCAAAATTTAAATTTTTGAAATCTGATTGTATTTTTGGATTTGGGAGGTCCATTTGCTCCCTATAGAAGCTAATATTGCTGCATATTCCCATTGAGGTGACAAGAATTAGCAAAATAGTGGTTCGGGCGCTTTTCAAAAATAGTACCGGACGCTGTTCCTCTTGTGACGTCATAGCTCCGTGACCTGACCTGACCCGGTCAAATTTCTTATACCATATGATAGCCAATACTTGCCCCAACATGCATGGGAAGTTTCATCACGATCCATCAACCGATGTCCGTACCACCGGCAGGAAACCTCGGGCGTTGGCACTCAGTTTGTGAAAATCCGGCCGGAGGCTGTACCTCTTATGACGTCATAACTCCGTGACCTGACATGACCCGATCAATTTTTTTTCGGCAAAAGATGCGCAAAGGTTGCCCCAGAGGGCATTGAAAATTTCAGCCCGCTACGACAAGCCGTTTAGCGTGCACTTCGAAAAAACCTCAGGGGGGGGGGGTTGATACAACCCCCCCCCCCTAGGCGTTCTAGGGTTAAATTCTAGTCATCCACTAGTGTTTGTTGTGGCTATTTTACACATGGTATTAGTTAATAGCTTAGCCATTGGCGAGCCCACCCTGCAATTCAGTGATAAATGTCTGCATTTGTGTTTTGACCGCTGCGCCGTGACGTTCCTGCAAATAATAAAGCTCGCTATCCATTATCGTATGCTGTCTTGATGGACATGTATTTCAGCATTATCTTAAAAGTTGACATCCTACTGATGCATTCAGTTGTGCCTGTATCGTTCTATAGGTATTACCCAACTTGCATACCTACTTTGGTAAATTGAATATATAAGCACCCTTACAAGCGACAGTTGTTTCATTAATATTGATTCAGCCGATTACTACTCGGAAGTTGCGACTTTCAATTCTTTCATAATTACCTTATCCATCCTTATCAATAAAAATATTAATGAGGTATTTATGTACGATGGATGCATAGGAGTTGAAATCACATTCAACTTCTTAGGTCGGTGCTATATATGCCTATGCAATATGCATTCATATAGCAGGCATAGGTTTTGCACATCTTAGGTATGCACCACAGTCCACAACCGTTTCATTTATATCATGCCTGGAAAATTCTGAAACAGTATTAGTCACTTTACGCAGAAGCCAATTCATAGACGGAGACCAGACATACGTGACGTATCCGCTATTTCCCAATTGCGTCTCTATGTTTGGTTTTTCATCCGTAACAGATGTTCTCAACATAAACAAATCGTCCTGACGTAGTATATCTAGCCGCCCCAGTGGGCCTCTACAAACCAGTCTACCTCTAGCAGTGTCCCGAACATTGGTCGTTACGACAGCGGTCTCAGAAGGCGGCTGACTCCACGGATAGACTCGCTGCACTATGGCTATCACAGAGCGGACGGTACTGCACGCCCTGCTGCTGCTGCTGACCAGGACAGCCGTCTGCTCCTGCGACCACCCGGTGTCCCCGGGGGCCGCTGTGGTCGCCGGGCTGGCCGCGGCGTGTTCAGAGGGAGTACGGCAGGCGGTTCAGCAGGAGCTCTGGACGGCGACCAACTACAGCGACTCAGAGGGACGTGCTGTGGACCTCCCGGAGGGGATGAACGGACTGCTGCAGGCACTGCACGGCGGACAGTCACAGCCCCGGGAGTGTCCCTCCGGCTGGGCGCGCCACGGAGACAGCTGCTACCTGATCCCGCCGCAGAAGACCAACTGGTTCCGGGCGCATCACGCCTGCGCCGTGCTGCACAGGGGCGCGCAGCTGGCCTCAGTCCACCCGGACTCGGGCCCGTTCCTGGAGGGTATGGTGGCCTCCAGCGGGGCCGAGAAGGCCGTCTGGGTGGGCCTGTTCGGCTCGGGGAAGGCTGCGGGAGACTGGGTGTGGAGCGATGGCTCACCGTTCGACTACGCTCACTGGGATCGGAACCAGCCGGACGGCGGCGACCCGAGCTGTATTCATCTGGGCTGGCCGAGCTACACGAACAACTTGTGGCACGACAACTCGTGCACTGTCGTCATCAACGTCCTGTGTCAGATCAAACTGGCGTGAACGATGCTCTCGAGCGATTCTTATCTGTAAGAAATGATGTGTGATGATGGACCGGTTAATACACAGTCAACTGCCTGATAATTTTACTGGGGTCCTGGCTTTAATGGCCTATAAGAGGCCGTCGCACACTCAAGCTTAGGATAGTATCGCATCATATCATTCGTATTTGGTAAATTTGGATCGGTCTCATTGCCACTGAACAGGGTAGGTATTCTTATTATAGCCATCTCTATTGCATGGATGGCTGAGCCTATCGGCCTAACGTCTGTCACCCACGGGACTTTCTGAGGAAGGGACAGGGACGCATAATCGCCGGCCTGGGCCAGTCGACTATACCTATAGAGCTTGGGCGGTGCGGCAAGAAACGAATGAATATGTAGCCTATTTAGTTGCAACTCTTTATACCGCATTAAATCGTCAGCTTTGAGCTTAACCCGGCCGGGCCGGGGGGGTAATCCCAACCACCGCAGCCCGGGGGGGGGGGGCGTTTTTCGCCCCCCTGTCTAACTCCGTAAATAAGGGAGCTACGGAAAAAAAACGATACCAAACGAAAGGTCCTTACGAGACGATTCTAATGCACCTAAAATTTTTGACCTCAGGTCAATTTTCAAGGTCAGAGGTCAAGGTCAAAGGCAAAAACCGCCAAATTTGTAGTGATCTCAAAGTAAGCCTTCTAGAGGACGGCAGACTGCATCAAACCGGCAAAATTGGCTGTCAAACGAAAGAAAAGAATCTGAGGATTCTGAAAATGTGTTCAAAGTGAAAGGTCAAGGTCAAGGTCACGCTCAAAATTGACCTCAAACTTGGCACTTTTTCGCATATCTTGCGTGCTAACTTCCAAGATGTTTTGAAATGTTTTGAGGCTTATCAGTTCCCTATTTGTGGTTCATCTTACGATACAAGGCTGCTCAAAGGCCAAGGTCACAGAAGAGTATCCCTGCTAGAGGCTATTTCACTGATTCAAGTTAGTAATAATAAATAAGACAATTTTGCAATCCGGAAGCTCTAAATGAAGGCTTAGAGGAAAATAGATGTCAGATTGGTGATCAGCGGGTACAAATCCATCATAAACGACCTTTCATGTGTCAAGGTCAACCAGAGGTCATTCGAGGTCACATGAGGTCAACATAAAATTTGACCTTTTCCGAACAAAATATATATCATTCGACGCGGCTTGACAAGGCGAATGCGATGGTACCACTGCCGTAGCTCTAGGACCATTTTTGTCGGTTATTTGCGAAAAACTAAAACCACATTTCGGGGTCGTTGACCTGACCTCTGACCTCAGGTCACCAAAACTATTTTTCTATTTTTCTTAGGTCAAACGCTACACAACCGTGCTCGTAATTTGTCTTTATCTCTAAAACTATGTTTAGCAGCTATTTGAAGTTTGTGTCTGTGACGCCGAAGTTTGCCGTGCAGGGGTCTAGCAAAATGGACCTTGTGACGTCATCAAGGGGGCTAGGTCCAATTTTTTTACTTCAGAAGATGTCAAATTGATGGGAGAAAAGGTACTGAAAGTTTCGCCTTCCTATCCCTAAGCGTTCGGGAGCTATCGCAAATATTCGCCAGGGGGGGCGAAAAACGCCCCCGGGCCCGCGAGGGTTAACTATGTGAATTCAAAGTATGCAGGAGATAAGCGCTTTACAAAATAAGCCATCATTCGGGATATTGTTTGCTTGTAAGCTCAATTACAAAGTTGTTCTCTAGCATTGGGGCCCATTACCTACCGGATGTGTCTTTTTGGCGAAAACCGAGAGGCATGCCTTTTTGTAGCCGCACTAACTTGTCCAACAAAAAATTGGTTGATATGTTAATTTGAGCACCAAATATTTCGCTGCCTGAGCATGCAAGTTATTGCAGTCTCACGCTCTCGCGGATCGCTCCGTGACTTGGCCGTTCGTGACCATTCGTGACCTCTGTCATCATCCGTGATCTGGCCACGCGGTCAGCGCTGTGCTGACCTGCCATCGTCGCGTGCATGGCACCGGTCACGGCGCAGACACAGGCCATGCTCTCACACAAGTCCGGGTCGGAGGCCGAATGTGGGACACACTATCCAGCGAGTGGCAGCCGCGGGCCGGCTGGACCCGCACCGACACCACTGGCCCTCTGCGCCAATCACCGGTCCGTAGAGCGCTCTACCGGCACCATAGAGGACGTTCTACCGGTACGGGAAGACGCCGTTCTGGGCTGTGCCCGTCCAGGTGTGTTCTGCAGTGCAGTGCCGCCTGCTGGCTGTCGTGGGAAGGAGCGCGGCACACGCAGGGAGCGAGCGGTAGAGGTGGAGACTGCAGCGCCCGACCAGCCGCTAACACCGCCGGTGTCTCCCCGACAAAAGACAACAGTAACAGGTGAGGCAGCTGCCGGACACCTGGACTTTAGAGCCGCGCCCTGCTTTTGACACGATCATCATCAACACGGAACTACAGACGCAAGACATTTTAGTGAAATGAGATCACAAAATCGTTTCCCTCAACGAGTGATTTCACGAGGATGCCATTAGCGCCATAAAAAACAGCCTAGATTTTTGTGAGAGTAGTTTGTGGGATAATAAGCTATGTAGAGACAGCAGTAATTTAACGTGAAACGGTACTTTGCGCAAAAGAAGAGCATGGCGTAACGTAAAGCAATCGATGTGAGAGCATATATGCTCGCCTATATGCTCTCTTAACGTGAATATTACGCCTAAAGGCGTAAATTCTAGTTTCCCCTGATTAATCGTATATAGCGTCTTACTTACATTGCAAGACTGTATGCTGATTTGGATAAGTTATTTTACACCTCTTTTTCCATCGTGTAGTTTCCACCTTAACTCTGCCTTTCCTTCTCTTTTTCTTTTTATTGTTTTATTTTTATCCCGCCTCCCCTCTCCCTTCCTCCGGATACGCAAAGACAAACATAGGTATGCGTGCAGCGTGCGCCCCCCCCCCCCCTCCCCGCACACACAAATCCCTCACCGTCCGCCGGTCGGCGCCGCGCGTGGTTTCATAACATGCACCCTTCACTGACCTCCAGCTATAAGCACCTGCTGTGTGGAGAGCATTGGACCGCGCACTGAAGCGATCGGCTCTCCAACACGAAACACCGGCTCTAGATGACCATTACGACAATCATCGTTTGTCGCGCCGGTCTGTTACACGGCCCACCGGATGGGTTGTGAAAGGTGGACGAAGGACGTGGTTGGGACACAGGTTCGGTGGCCTGTGTGTGTGCTGATCCATGATCCAGCAATGCGCAGCCTCCGGTTCGGAGATATATAGTGCCTCGGTTGTTGGCAAATCAGGTTAACCCGCGCCCTGGTGTGGGTCTGAGCCACCTTCGCCCTGGTGGGGGGGGGGGGGCCAAAATGACCCCCCCCGTCTAACTCGAAAACGAAGAGGGCTAGGAAGACGCGGAAAAAAGCAAACGAAAGCCCATAACAAGTACGTTCGAAAGTATTTCAGTCATTTTTTCGCTAAGGTCAATATTGAGGTCGCTAGAGGTCATCATAGGTCAAATTTCAGTGTTTTCGGTGTTGCCGGACATATTCCGCTGTAGCTCGGAAACTAGAAGAGCTAGAGAGCCGCGGAAAAAAGCAATCGATAGCTCTTTTCAAGCTCTTTCGCCAAGGTTCGTCAGATTTGACCTCAG